TTCCTTACTCATTACAGAATATATTTCTTGTATTATATAACTCAGTTCATTATAGAATCTGAAAAGATTATCTTTGCAGAAACTCATCTCGAAAAGAATACTCTTATTTGATACAAGCTTTCTTTATATAATTACTTGGAGCATTAGAATAATCTCAATATATGTATTTAGAATATTAAGAATATATTTAATTTCTTTAAAAGCTTTGAGAAAGCTTTTAAAGAAATCTTTGATAATTCTAACGAAGAATGCATTACAGCTCAGCAGCTTATAAATCTCAAGCAGATCAAATCAGCTTCTATCTATACAATTAGATTCAAGCAACTCTCAATATAATTCCTATAAGAAGATAAGAATCTTATGAAGTATTACTATAAGGAACTCAAGAATAATATTAAGAATGAAATCTTTAAACAGAATTAGCTAGAGAACTTTGCAATATTCTCCAATCAAGCTATTCGCATTAATAACTATCTATATAAATAATAGATAAAGAAATCCAAGAAGGGAAGAAGCTAGACTTGGAAGTTTCCAGTTAATATGAGCAAGAAACTTCAAAATAAGAATAGCAGTTAATATAGCAGTATAGCTTAGAGCAGCATTATATATGCTAGTTCTATAGAACTCAATACAGCTAACAAGCAGTATAATAAGAAGAATAATATTACTTGCTATAATTGCAATAAATAAGAATATATTATATGCAACTGCTATTAATCCCGAAAGAATAAATAGCAACTAGTTTAGAAAGAATACTAGATAAATATTGCTTAATAATAGAAACTCAATTAATTAAGCAAAAATATTCCTTTAGAGCAAGTATCAGACTCTATTGATTATAAAAGTCTCAGCTAAATATTCTGCTATAATAATAACTGCTTAATACATCTCTCGAGTAAGAAAAGTTCAGAATAGTTCCCTTAGAAATCTAAGCGCTACAAACAAATAGCAATAGCAGAACAAGAATATATGCTCAGCATTCCTACAAATAGCAACTCGGATTGTTCTGATATTGTAGAATAGAGTATTCAGGCATTAGAAGAAGAGCTTAGCAATAATACTTTTCAATATTCTTTATTATCTATACTAAGCATTATAATCAGAGATATAAATAAGAAATAATACTTTCTTAGCTATTAGTATAAACATTTAAGCAATATAGAGAATACTTCTCAAGCAATAGAAGAATTAAGCTAGAGTAAATAATCTAGCAGCTTATAAAAGCTTTCTGCGAATAATATGCTCAACAAGCTTAAAGAAAGATTTCTCTTCAGCATTAGATGAAATAAGAAAATAATATGAATCGAATATCTCATCTACAGAATAGAGCTGAAAGAGCTCTTTATCTGCATCTTCTTGCAGAATATTGAAGCACGAGAAAACAAGAATCCTCGGATCAGCTTACTTTACAACCTATACTACAAACTAGCATAGATCTTCTGCATCTATCATAGCTGTAGAGCGCATTTCTCAGATAAGATACAATATGAATAATTCTCTATTAGAGAACTAGAATAAATTCTTCAGGCTATTGAGAAATAGAAACTTTGCTTCAGAGAGATTCTCAACAGATAATACTATAATGCATATATTGAACTACTAAACGATTGCTCTATGCAATGCATAAATAAGAAAATAAAATAATAATAATATAAAATAATACTTTATACAATTCATATTAATAACAAGATTTGCAACTAGTATCAATAGAAGAAAGATTAGGAATAATAATAATATAAGTAAAAGCAAGCTAAGAAGCTTATTTAAGAAGCAGCAAAGCAAGCTTAGAAGAATAAGCAGTTTTTAATAAACTTAAAAGAACAGGATTGCTTGTAAAGAGATTGCAAATAATCAGACTGAAACAGTTTCTATATAAAGCTTTCAGAATAGATTATGCTTATATCAAGTTTAATATATATATACAAGAATATAAATATAGCATACTATTGAATAGTAGCGCTTAAGGAAACTTTATATCTTTATATATTATTAATCAAGCACAACTATAATGAAGATAAAAGAAATGCTCATATACTCTCAGTATTGTAAAAGAATAGCCTGTTGCATACAATCAAGAAATAATTAATAAGAAGATTGATCATTTATCTATTTTAATCCAAGAATGTATAATCAGAGCTTCTTTTAATATTATAGATATAATACAGTATAAGCTAATTATGGAATTTCTATAGCTCAAAGAGCATAATCCTCGAATTAATTGAACTACTAGCTAGATCTTATAGGAATAAGCTGTATCCAAAGAAATAGTTGCAATTAATAATGCAGGATTGAAGCTAGTTATTAAGAAATATTCGAGGAAAGAAGCTTCAGATAACTTCATATACATCTCTAAGTCAGCAAGGCTAGCAATTCAAAGAGAAGGATCTAGTAATAAGCGAACCTAAATAGTGCTAGAGTGCTAATAGATTAGCAAAATAACGGAAGCGAAATCTTTAGCAAGTTAGTTCGCTCCGGAGCAACAAGGAAAAGCTTCAGAAAGAGAATTATAAACTCATAGGGAAAAAATCTCGAAACTAAGCTTTCGAGCGCTCGGTTCAGCTCGGAGCGAATGCTCAAAGCTCTTGAAAACGCTATCAGAAAAGAAGCATGCTTAATAGTATTTACTATTCCTCCAGATAGCAGAAACAGTATAAGAATTAGAACTAATACTTGCAAACATACTATGAGAATATTATAAGTTTAAGAAACTATTCCAGAGAGAATTGAATATAGGATTACCGGAATACAGCTTATATAATTACAAGATTTCGCTATAAGAAGAGAAACAGCTCAAATTCTTTTCTATTTATAGACTAAATAAAGCATAGCTAGAGGCACTTAGGGAATATCTCGATAAGAATCTTAAGAAAGAATATATATAACTATTATAATTATCAGCAGAATATCCTATCTTATTTATATCTAAGAAAAATAGTAAGCTTAAGCTATATATTGATTATAAGCAATTCAATGATATTATAATTAAGAACTAATATCTATTGCTATTTATTAAGGAATTACGAAATAAGCTGCAAGAAGTATAATAGTTTATAGTTTTAGATTTAAAAGAAGCTTATAATCTGATTAGAGTAAAAGAAGGAGAAGAATGGAAAACTGCTTTCAGAATATGCTACAAATACTACGAATATTTGGTTATGCTTTTTAGTTTAATAAATATTCCAGCTTTATTCCAGGAAATAATCAATTATATTCTATGCAAGCATCTGAATCAATTCATTATTGCTTATCTTAATAACATTCTTATTTATTCTTAAATACTTGAAGAATATAAGAAATATATGAGAATAGTATTGCAAATACTCTAAGATGCAAAACTTCTTATAAAGCTTGCAAAAAGCTACTTTTATATACAAAAAGTTAACTATCTTGGATTTATAATCAAGCTGGAATGCATTAAGCTACAGAAAGATAAGATGAAAGCTATTAGAAACTAGCTAATTCTCAGAAACATTAGAAATATTAAGTTTTTTCTTAAATATATCAACTTCTACAAGCAGTTTATTAAGAACTATAGCTGAATTATACATCCTCTTACAAATCTCATCAAAAAGAAACAGCTTTTCGAATAAATCTTCAAAGCATAAGAAGCTTTCAATAAGATTATCAAGCATATTATCTCAGAACTAGTTCTATATAAAGCAGATCCTTATAAATCCTTTGAAATTGAGATCAATGCATTAGATTATATACTCAGAGAACAACTTAGCTAGCAAGATAATCAAGAATGTTTAAGAATTATAAGCAACTTTTTAAAGAAGTTGAATAGCTTAGAAATTAATTACAGAATCCTTAATCAGAAACTTATAGCAATAGTAAAAGCTTTCAAGAAGTAGCAATACTATCTTATTAGCATATAATACTCGATTATAGTTTACTTAGATTATAAGAATCTAACTATATTTATAATAATTAAGATTTTAAATAAGCAATAAATCAGATAAGCAGAATTCCTTTTACAGTTCAATTTTAAGATTATATACTGCAAAAGCTTGAAGAATGAATAAGCAGATGCTCTTAGCAGAAGATCAGACTATCGAAATGCAGATTTCTTGAATATATAGAATATCTTTGCTTAAGATAAATTAGGAAATCTTATTAATGCATATAGAGAACTAAATGCTATCTTCAGAATTGAATCTTTAGAAAAAAACTCAGAATTGATAATTCCAGATGAATAAAATAATTATATCAAGAATATATATAATATACTAGTATACGAATATTAGAGAGTTAGAGCAATCTATGAATATATCAAAAGATACTGGAATCTATTAGACTTTAGAAAAAGAATTGGAAATATTCTATAATAATATAATAGCTGCAAAAAGAACAAAGTAGAAAGATATAAGCTTTACAAACTACTATACTCTTTATTAATATCTATAATTATTTAGCAATTCATTAATCTAAACTTTATTATCAAGCTATCTCTCTTATAAGAATTCTTAACTAAAATACAATACAATAGCATTCTAAAAATAGTTTGCAGACTAAGCAAGTATACTTATTTTCTTTCTTATAAGGAAAGCAGTATAGCAGAAGAACTTGTATATGCATTTCTCAAAATGATTATTGCTAACTATAGTATGCTAGAAGAAGTAATCTCTAATAGAGATAAAAAGTTCAATTCGAAATTTTGAACTTTACTTATAAAATAGCTCGAAATATACTATAGAATATCTATAGCATTTTATCTGCAGATAGATAAATAGATAGAAAGAATAAATTAAATTGTTAAATAATATCTTTAATATTATATTAATCAGAAATAGAATAACTGAATTAATCTATTGCTTCTTATATAATTCGCTTATAATAGCGCAGATATAAGTATAATAAAGAAGTTATTATTCTTTATACTCTATGAATATAATTCAATAGTTTATTATAAAGCACTGCTAAAAGCAAATATAGAAGCTGCAGATAAAAGAATTAAGAAGATTAAGAAAGTTCAGAAGAAATTCTGATTAGAATTATAATTCATTCAAGAACGAATAATGCAGTATGCAAACTCCAAAAGAATTAAGAGACTAATTCTACAGAAGAGAGATAAAGCTTATTTATTTCGAAAAAATATCAAAACAATCAGATCTAGCAATAAATTCAACTATAAAAAATTAGAATTATTCAAAATCTTATAACAAATCTTCCTGATTAATTACGAATTAGCATTATCTTATGAAATGAGAATATACTCAGTTTTTCACATCTTACTGCTGGAATTAGCAGCATAGGAAATATCAATGGATAATGCAGCAGAAGTGGAGAATAATGAATCAGAATACAAAGTAGAAAAGATTCTTAAGCATAGAAGCATAAATAGCATAAGGGAATACCTCATTAAATGGAAAGGCTATCCAGCGAGCGAAAACTCATGAGAACCGCAGAAAAACGTTAAAAATGCTCAGGAAAAGAGCTAAGAAACTCTAGTTAATAACCTCAAGATGTCTCTGAGACATCAGACGAATCTCCTCTTCATGAAGACTGCAATCCTCCTTATTAGCAAACCTCTTCAAGAAATTGAAATCACAACAAATTATTTCTGCAGCACATTCCTCCAACAGCCTTCGCTATTTCCGTATACAATCAAGACAAGCCTGCAATGCTAGCAAAGCTTGTAGAGCAGCAGCATTTGCTAACTCTGTCTCAGCTTTCTCGCTCAAAACCTTGCACTTTTTACAAATCAAACGCCTTACTGAAAAAGAAAATCAGTAATTATAGAGAATACTAAGAAATAAAGAAACTAATTAGCAGAAGCTGAGAAATAATCAGTATTACAGCTTTAATTCAGAGAAATATACTTCTTATAATGAGAAAAGTTTTCAGCAAAACAATAGAAAGCTTTCATCTCTCAATAATAAGCATAAGCAGGCATTTTGATATCAAAAGCAGAAATAAGCTTAGCAAGATAATAATACTCTTGAGTTTTTACTGAATGATTAGAATGCAATTTGTTAATTCTATTCGATATTTTGATTAGGAAAGCATAATCATGTATGCAAATAACTTGCTAAGAATACTTATAGAAGATCATTAGAAATAACAATCGATAGAAAGAAGATAATATTATGATTTATCTAATATGCAGATTACTGTTAGGGCTTGTATGCGCACAAAGGAAATAGGTGGCCCTTGCGACCCCTGGTGGCGGTTCAGGGCTGCTGCGAGGGCTTCGCTCCGAAGCAGCGCTCTCGTACGATGCCGCGTGGCCATCAGGCCATTGTCATCCCATCTAGTCCAGGCCAATTGTGTACATAAGGGAAAGGGGAACAACAGGTCCAGCAGCGAAAAAGAGGAGGGGGGAGATAGGTTCAGTAGTCCCTTTGAATGGAAGCGTCAACAGAGCGGCTTGGGAGCAGCTCACACCCCTTCACCTCACTTGTGTGCCCTTTTTACCCTGACAATTACTAGCTAGAATATCTGGAATAATTATTTGGAAAAACAGAAAAGGATTTAATATCTTAAGAACTAAAGCTTATATAAGCAAGGATTAGGATTACAGAATCAGGATGGATCAGTAGCTAATCCATAGTAATCTGGATTAATTGGATCATTCAGATAATCCAAGAAATCCAATAACCAATACTACCAACAGAACTAAAGAAGCTGAATATATAAGAACACGTTCATTCCCATTAGATAGATCTCATATATAGCTCTTCAGTTGTTAATCTAAGTATTCAGTCTTATATACTGAGTAGCTCCAAAGGCAGTGAATACTTATATTGCTTATTAAGACTTGTACAGTTCCGTATTCAGAGACTTGATACTTCGATACTGCTCTTGTTAGCATAAACCCTCTTTGTGTACTTTGGAATCTTCGGATTGCTGCAGTGCTCATTACACATAGAATGCTTTCTACAAGTGGTAGCTACGATCATATACTGCATTGAGGAATTCCTTGAGGATTCATCTCATGAAGCCACTGCACTGATATGCTCACCTGGGAAATCAGCAGCTTTGGCAACCCAAAAATATCAAAAGCTTACTATCATAAAGATCATGATACCAAAACAACAAGCTCTTAGCACTATGCTTACCTGAGATTGTGTGTTATGACTCATTCAACATGCAGATTACGAAACAGATCACGAGTAACAAGGATTAGATATCAAGAACCCAACGTTCTAACAAAGCATTGATTACATAACTCAGAGTTAGAGTTATAAGCATAGCCAATCAGAAAGGATAGCTTTGAATATATGCTATCCAGAGCTAGCAGAATAACTTGAATATATTGCTATTCAACATATTCACACTAAAGAGCTGAATATATAACTACACATTCATTACTATTAAATAGATTTAATATATAGCTCTTCAGTTATTAATCTAAATATCAGATTACTCTTTTATTCTAATAGCTCCAAAAGCAGTAAATACTTATATAGTTACTACAGTTATATTTCTATATTCAAAGCTTATACTTAATACTGCTCTTATTAGCATAAACTTCTTATATACTTTGGAATCTTCGGATTACTATAATGCTTATTATATTTTAATAATTCTTATTTAAGAATAGTTTAGTATTATTCTTTTGAGCAATATGAAATATAATAGCTTCTTAGAAAACTTTTTTATTCTTGTATGCTTCTATTTAGAAAGAACTGATTAATCAGATATATTAGCTTATTCAGTATATTCAGAATCTGTATAATTAATAATAAGCTTAGAGCATTATTATTACTAACTAATAAGCTTAGCTAATTTAATAAGCTTAGTAGATATAGTTTATCTCTATAATTACTAATAATATTAGAAAATTATATAAGATGAATAAGCTTGCTATATATAATAGCAATTAAAAAATATTATATAAATTTCTCATTTACTGCAGAGTATATTTTTTGCATTATAAAATTCAGTTTACTAAGAAATCTGAGAAAATTATTCTTATAGAAACTCATTTTGAAAAGAATACTCTTATCTAATATAAGCTTTCTTTATATAACTATTTAGAACATTAGAATAATTCTAATATATATATTTAGAATATTAAGAATATATTCGATTTCTTTGCAAGCTTTGAAAAAGCTTTTAAGAAAATCTTTAATAATTCTAATAAAGAATATATTATAGCTTAGCAATTTATAAATCTTAAGCAAACTAAATCAGCTTTTGCTTATATAATTAAATTTAAATAACTTTTAGTAAAACTTTTATAAGAAGATAAGAATTTTATAAAATATTATTATAAAGAATTTAAGAATAATATTAAAAATGAAATCTCTAAGTAAGATTAGCTAAAGAACTTTGTAATATTCTCTAATTAAGCAATTCGTATTAATAATTATTTATATAAGCAATAGATAAAGAAATTTAAGAAAGAAGAAAGCTAGATTTAAAGATTTCTAGCTAATATAAGCAAGAAATTCCAATATAAAAATAGTAATTAATATAGCAATACAGCTTAAAGCAGTATTATATATGCTGATTTCATAGAATTCAATACTGCTAATAAGCAGTATAGTAAAAGAAATAATATTACTTGCTATAATTGTAATAAATAGAAATATATATTATATAATTGCTATTAATCTTAAAAGAATAAATAGCAATTAGTTTAGAAAGAATGCTAAATGAATATTGCTTAGCAATAGAAACTTAATCAACTAAGCAAAAATATTCTCTTGAAGCAAGTATTGAATTCTATTGATTATAGAAATCTCAGCTGAATATTTTGCTATAATAATAACTGCTTAATATATTTCTTAAGTAAGAAAGGCTTAGAATAGTTTTCTCAGAAATTTAGATACTATAAGCAGCTAGCAATAAAAAGGTGAAAATATATGCTCAGTATAATTATAAGCAATAATAATTCAAACTGCTTTAATATTACTAAATAAAGTATTCAGATATTAAAAGAAGAACTTAGCAATAATACTCTTTATCATTTCTTATTATTTATGCTAAGCATTATAACTAGGAATATGAATAAAAGATAGTATTCTTTTAGCTATTAGTATAAATATTTAGATAATACTGAAAATACTTCTTAAATAATAAAAGAATTAAGCTAGAGCGAATGATCTAGCAATTTATCAGAGTTTTCTGTAAATAGCGAATCCAACAGCTTTACAAAAGTTTGAAAAGAAAGATTTCTCTTTAGTATTGAATGAAATAAGAAAACGATATGAATTGAATATTTCGTTTATAGAATAGAGCTAGAAGAGCTCTTTATCTATATTCTCTTGCAAAACATCGAGATATAATAAAATAAGAACTCTTGGATCAGCTTACTTTACAATCTATATTATAAGCTAGCATAGATCTTCTGTGCTTATTATAGCTATAGAGCATATTTCTTGAAAAAAGTATAGTATGAATAATTCTTCATTAGAGAATCAGAGCAAATCCTTCAAGCTGTTAAGAAATAAGAGCTTTGCTTTAGGAAAGTTCTTAATAAGCAGTATAATAATACATATATCAAGCTATTGAATAACTGCTTCAAGCAATATATAGATAAGAAAATAGAATAGTAGCAATGCAGAATAATATTTTGTACAATTTATATTAATAACAAAGTTTATAACTAGTATTAACAGAAAAAAAACTAGAAATAATAATAATATAAGCAAAAGCAAGCTAAAAAGCTTACTTAAGAAGCAGCAAAGCAAGCTTAGAGAAAGAATAAGCAGCTTTTAATAATCTCAAAAGGCTAAAATTGCTTATAAGAGAACTGCAGATAATTAGATCAGAATAGTTTCTATATAAAGCTTTTAAAGCAAACTATGCTTATATCAAGCTTAATATATATATTCAAGAATATAAATATAGCGTATTATTGAATAGTAGCGCTTAGAGAAACTTTATATTCCTATATATTGTTAATCAGGCATAACTATAGTAGAAATGAAAGAAGTAGCTATACATTCTTAGCATTATAAAAGAACAATCTATTGCATACAACTAAGGAGTAATTAATAAGGAAACTGATTATTTATCTATCTTAATTCAAGAGCATATAATTAAGATTTCCTTTAATATTATAGATATAGTATAGTATGAGCTGATTATAAAGCTTTTATAGCTTAAGAAGCATAATTCTCGAATTAATTGAATTACTAGTTAGATTTTATAAGAACAAGCTATATTTAGGGAAATAGTTGCAATTAATGATACAGAATGAAAATCAGTTACTAAAAAATATTCAAGAAAAGAAGCTTTAAATAACTTTATATATACTTTCAAATCAGTAGAGCTAGCAGTTTAAGAAGAAGAATCTAGTAATAAGCAAACTCAAACAGTGCTAGAGTGCTAATAGATTAGCAAAATAATAGAAGCGAGATTCTCAGCAAGTCAGTTCGCTTCGGAGCAATAAGGAAAAGCTTCAGAATATGAATTATAAATCTATACAAAAATCTCGAAATCAGATTCTTAAGCAGTTAGTTTAGCCTGAAGTAAATACTCAAAGCTCTCAAAAACGCTACTAAAAACAACAAGCGAAAAGAAGCATGCTTAATAATACTTATTATTTCTCCAGATAGCAGAAACAGTATATAGATCAGAATCAATACTTGCAAGCATATTACAGAAATATTACAAATTCAAGAAATTATTTCAGAAAGAATTGAATACAGAATTGCTAAAATATAGCTTATATAATCATAAGATTCTGCTATAAGAAGGAAAATAGCTTAAATTCTTTCTTATTTATAGATTAAATAAAGCATAACTAGAAATATTTAAAAAGTATCTTAATAAGAATTTCAAAAAGAAATATATATAATTATTACAATTACTAGCAGAATATCTTATTCTGTTTATATTTAAGAAGAATAGCAAGCTTAAGCTATATATTAATTATAAGCAATTTAATAATATTATAATTAAAAACTAATATTTGTTATTACTTATTAAAAAACTGCAAAATAAATTGCAAGAAGTATAGTAATTTATAGCTCTAGTTTGAAAAAAGCTTATAATTTAATTAGAATAAAGAAAGAAGAAGAATAAAAGACTGCTTTCAGAATATGCTATAGATATTACAAATATTTAACTATGCTTTTCAATCTAATAAATACTTTAGCTTTATTTTAAGAAATAATTAATTATATTCTATATAAGCATTTGAATCAATTTATTATTATATATTTTAATAATATTCTTATTTACTCTCAAATACTGAGAGAATATAAGGAATATATAAAAATAGTATTATAAATACTTTAAGATGCGAAACTTCTTATAGAATCTGCAAAGAATTACTTTTATATACAAAAAGTTAATTATCTCGAATTTATAATTAAGCTAGAATATATTAAGCTATAGAAAAATAAAATAAAAGCTATTAAAAATTAGCTAATTTCTAGAAATATTAGAAATATTAAATCTTTTCTTAAATATATTAACTTTTATAAGCAGTTTATTAAGAACTATAGCTGAATTATATATCTTCTTATAAATCTTATTAAAAAAGAGCAGCTTTTTGAATAAATCTCTAAGATATAAGAAGCTTTTAATAAGATTATTAAGCATATTATTTCAGAGCTAATTCTGTATAAAGCAGATCTCTATAAATCTTTTAAAATTGAAACTAATATATTGAAATATATACTTAGAAAATAATTTAGTTAGCAAGATAATTAAGAATATTTAAGAATTATAAGCAACTTTTTAAAAAAGTTAAATAGCTTAGAAATTAATTATAAAATCTCAGATTAAAAGCTTATAGCAATAATAAAAGCTTTTAAGAAATAATAATACTATCTTATTAATATATAATATTTAATTATAATTTATTCAGATTATAAAAATCTAATTATATTTATAATAATTAAAATCTTAAATAAGCAATAAGTTAAATAAATAGAATTTCTTTTATAATTTGATTTTAGAATTATATATTGCAAAAGCTTAGAAAATGAATAAGCAGATACTTTTAATAAAAGATTAAATTATTAAAATACAGATTTCTTAGATATATAGAATATCTTTATCTAAGATAAATCAGAGAATCTTATTAATATATATAGAAAGCTGAATGCTATCTTCAGAATTGAATTCTTAGAAAAGAATTCAGAATTAATAATTTCAAATAAATAAAATAATTATATTAAGAATATATATAATATATTAGTATATAAATATTAAAGAATTAAAGCAATTTATAAATATATTAGAAAATATTAAATCTTATTAAGCTTTAGAAAAAGAATTAAGAATATTTTATAATAATATAATAGCTATAAGAAAAATAAAATAAAAAAATATAAGCTTTATAAACTACTGCATTTCTTACTAATATTTATAATTATTTAGCAATTTATTAATTTAAATTTTATTATTAAGTTATTTTTCTTATAAAAACTCTTAACTAAAGTGCAATATAATAGCATTCTAGTAATAGTTTGCAAACTAAGCAAGTATACTTACTTTCTTCTTTATAAGAAAAGCAGTATAGCAGAAGAATTTATATATATATTTCTCAGAATGATTATTGCTAATTATAGCATGCTAGAAGAAATAATTTTCAATAGAAATAAAAAGTTTAATTTAAAGTTTTGAATTTTGCTTATAAAATAGCTTGAAATATACTATAGAATATTTATAGCATTTTATCTGCAAACAGATAAACAGATAGAAAGAATAAATTAGATTATTAAATAATATTTTCAATATTATATTAATTAAAAACAGAATAATTAAATTAATCTATTACTTCTTATATAGTTTGCTTATAATAATGCAGATATAAATATAATAAAGAAATTATTATTCTTTATATTCTATAAATATAATCTAATAGCTTATTATAAAATACTGCTAGAAGCAGATATAAAAGCTGCAGATAAAAGAATTAAGAAAATTAAGAAAGTTTAGAAGAAATTCCAATTAGAATTATAATTTATTTAGAAATGAATAATATAATATACAAATTTTAAAAGAATTAAGAAATTAATCTTATAGAAAGAAAATAAGATTTATCTATTTCGAAAAAATATTAAAATAACTAAGCTTAGCAATAAACTCGATTATAAGAAGTTAGAATTATTCAAAATCTTATAATAGATTTTCCTAATTAATTATAAGTTAATATTATTTTATAGAATAAGAATATATTCAGTTTTTTATACTTTACTATTAGAATTAGCAGTATAGAAAATACTAGCAAATAATATAGCAAAAATAGAAAATAATAAACTAGAGTATGAAATAGAGAAGATTCTTAAATATAAAAATATAAACAGTATAAGAGAATATCTCATTAAATAGAAAGACTATTCAGTAAGCAGAAATTTGTAGAAACTATAGAAAAATATTAAAAATATTTAAATAAAAATAGCTGAGTATTGAAAAAGAAAAGAAACTAGTATCTAGAATAATTACTCCGCTCCAAACCAAGATTTAGAAGCTTTAGAAATCTTACTTTCCAGGAAATCCAATCAATCTATTACCAAATTCCCTATATTTACAGAATTCCAATCAAAATTCTCAAAGAAAGAATTCCCAGCAATAGCAGCGAACTTCTCTATAACTACAGAACAAACTCCAGCAGCAATATAAGCTTGCTCCTCCTCAGCTTCCTCATATTCTAACTCCTTTATACTAAAAAGGCTTCAGCGAACAGCTTTTATTATTCTCTTGAACTACAGATACTTTTGCTTTTATAAATATTTTATCTTTGCAGCAGCATTATATAGCTGCTTTTCAGCACTCTCGAGTTAGTTCTTCAGGCATTAGTATTGAATGCTTATTCAACGAATTTCCGCTGCACTCAGCCTCTGAATATTATATTAGAAGCAGCTTAAGCGAATATATTTGATATAATAAGAGGAATTCTTAATAGAAACTTAATAGAACTGAATACTATAATCCTTGCAGAAAGAATAGAAAGGTATAATAATAGTATTTGTAAGAATTAAAAAAAGAAGAGAATTCTTTTGTTTAGTCTTCTCAGCACAAGAATAAGATTTATTAATTTTATTTAATATCTTAATTAGGAAAGCAAGATTATATATATAAAAGACTTATTAGAATATTTATAGAAGATTATTAAGAATAATAACTAATAGAAAGGAGATAATATTATAATTTATTCAATATGCAGATTATAAAATAGATTATAAGTAATAAGAATTAGATATTAAGAATTCAATATTCTAATAAAACATTGATTATATAATCCAGAATTAGAATTATAAGCATAGCTAATTAGAAAGAATAGCTTTGAATATATGCTATTCAGAGCTAATAAGATAATTTAAATATATTGCTATTCAATATATTTATACTAAAGAGCTAAATATATAATCACACATTCATTATCATTAGATAGATTCAGTATATAGCTCTTCAGTTATTAATCTAAGTATCAGTGTAATGAGCACTGCAGCAATCCGAAGATTCCAAAGTACACAAAGGGAGTTTATGCTAACAAGAGCGGTATCAAAGTGCCAAGTCCTTGAATACGGAACCGTACAAGTCTCAGTAAGCAATGCAAGTATTCACTGCCTTTGGAGCTATCAGAATAGAGAGTAATCTGATACTTAGATTGATAACTGAAGAGCTATATATAATAATCTATCTAGTTGGTAATGAATGTATTCTTATATATTCAGCTCTTCATTGTAGCTCATCTGGCTTACTGTGATCTGTGATCTGCATTGTAGTGATTCAGTAAGTAGCTTATCTGTATTATCGTAATCCAACCCTAATCCTTGCTTATGTAATTCCTGGTAGTTGTCCGATGTTGAGTTGTGATATCTGGTTCCTTGTTAGCAGAGCTTGTTTCGTAATCTGCATGTTGAATAAGTTATAACATTATCTCTCTTCTATCAGTTATTGTTCTTAACGTACTTCTGTAAGTTTCCTAATAAGCTATTTGTAGGCCTGGTTATGCCTTTCTAATTGAGATGTCGAATAGAATCGAAAAGTTTCTTTCTTGAAAATCCGAGCAATGCTTTCAGCTTTCTCTAATTATCAACTTCTAAGGTTTTGAAGTTATACTTTGTTCTTTCTGTATCTCGAAGGGGTTGGAGTGTAAGATAATGGAAGATATTAAAAGGTATTCCTGTTGTGTTCGCTGGAATCGTTCTTGCGATGATTCCAGTATTCCGGTGAATGCTTATAGGTTTGCTTTTTTTTGAATCATTTCTTATTTGCCTTCTTGTAATGAGCACTGCAGCAATCCGAAGATTCCTAAGTATACGAAGGGGTTTATGCTAACAAGAGCAGTATCAAAGTGTTAAGTTCTTGAATACGGAACCGTACAAGTCTTAATAAGCAATGCAAGTATTCACTGCCTTTAGAGCTACTCAGTATATAAGACTGAATACTTAGATTAATAACTGAAGAGCTATATTCTGAATCTATCTAATGGTAATAAATGTATTCTTATATATTCAGCTCTTTAGTTCTGATTAATCTAATTATATTATGATTCCTTATAGTTATCTTTCCGAATATATTAATTATATTCATAGCTAACATAGTTGCACTAGCAATCCTAATCCGAATTATATAATCCTGATTAATATTCGATATTGGATTATAATATCTGATTCCTTAATTAGTAGAGCTTATTCTGTAATCTGTATATTGAATGGATTATAATATTATCTTTCTTTTATTAATCATTATTCTCAATAATCTTCTGTAAGTATCCTAGCAAGTTTGTAATGAGCACTGCAGCAATCCGAAGATTCCAAAGTATACAAAGGGGGTTTATGCTAACAAGAGCAGTATTAAAGTGCTAAGTTCTTGAATACGGAACTGTACAAGTCTCAGTAAGCGATGCAAGTATTCACTGCCTTTGGGGCTATCAGAATAGAAAGTAATCTGATACTTAGATTAACAACTGAAGAGCTATATACAAGATCTATCTAATAGGAATGAACGTGTTCTTTATATATCCAGCTCTTCAGTTCTGTTAATAGTGTTAGTTGTTGGATTACTTGAATTATCTGAATAATTCAACTGATTCGGATTACTATGGATCAGCTGCTGATTCATTCTGATCCTGTAACTCTAATTCTTGCTTATATAAGCCTTAATTCTTAAGATGTTGAATCCTTCTCTGTCTTTCGAATAGTTATTCCGAGCGTTCTAGCTGGTGATCTGCATGTTGAATGAGTTATAATATCATCTTCTTTCTATTGATTGTTATTTCTAATGATCTTCTGTAAGTATTCTAGCAAGTTCTTTGTATATATAGTTATGCCTTTCTAATCGAGATATTGAACAGAATTAACAAATTGTATTCTGATTGTTTAGTGAAAACTCAAGAGCGCTATTATCTTGCTAAGCTTATTTCTGTTTTTGATATTGAAATGTCTGCTTGTGCTTATTATTGAAAAACAGAAGCTTTCTGTTGTTTCGCTAAAAACTCTTCTTATTATGAGAAGTATATTTCTCTAAATTAAAGCTGTAATACTAGCTGTTTCTTAGCTTCTGCTGGTTAGTTTCTTTGTTTCTTAGTATTCTTTGTGATTACTGATTTTCTTCTCTAGCAGGGCGTTTGATTTGTAAAAAGCGCAAGGTTTTGAGCGAGAAAGCTGAGGCAGAGTTGGCAAATGCTGCTGCTCTACAAGCCTTGCTAGCATTGCAAGCTTGTCTTGATTGTGTACGGAAATAGCGAAGGTTGTTGAAGGAATGTGCTACAGAAATGATTTGTTGTGGTTTCAATTTCTTAGAAGGGTTTGCTGATGAGAAGAATTGCAGTCTTCGTGAAGAGGAAACTCGTCTGATATCTTAGAAACATCTTGAGGTTATTGACTGGAGTTCCTTGGCTCTTAATCCTAGCGTGTCTGGTTAGCTTTCCCTTCTGAAGAGTGAAACTGTAGCGCCTGATTCTCGTTCTGGAGCGGAGCGATCGTTCTAAGCGCTGGTTTTCCTTCTTTTCCAGTACTCAGCTATCTTTTCTTAAGCATTTTCAACGTTTTCCTATAGTTCCCATGAATTTTCGCTTGCTGAGTAATCTTTTCATTTGATGAGGTATTCTCTCGTGTTGTCTGTGCTTCTGTGCTTAAGAATCTTCTTCATCTCATACTCTAGTTCGTTATTTTCTACTTCTGCTATATTATCCGCTAGTATTTTCTATGCTGCTGATTCCAGCAGTAAGATGTGGAAAACTGAGTATATTCTCATCTTATAAGATAATGCTAACTCGTAGTTAACTGGAGAAATCTGTTGCAAGATTTTGAATAATCCTAACTTCTTATAATCAAGTTTATTGCTGAGTTTAATTGTTTTGATATTTTTTCGAAGTAGATAGATCTTATCTTCCTCCTATAGAATTAATTTCTCAATTCTTCTGAAATTTGTATAATGTACTATTCGTTCCTGAATAAATTATAATTCTAATCGGAGTTCTTTCTAAACTTTCTTAATCTTCTTAACTCTTTTGTTTGCAGCTTCTGCATCTATTTCTAGTAGTACTTTGTAATAAGCTGTTGGATTGTATTTATAGAGTATGAAGAATAGTAATTTCTTTGTTATACTTGTATCTGCACTGTTATAAGCAAACTATATAAGAAGCAACAGATTAATTCAGTTATTCTGTTCTTGATTAATATAGTATTAAAAATACTATTTAATAATCTGATTCATTCTTTCTATCTATTTATCTGTTTACAAATAAAATGCTATAGATATTCTATAGTATATTCTGAGCTGTTTTATAAGCAAAGTTCAAAACTTTGAATTGAACTTTTTATTTCTATTAGAGATTACTTTCTCTAGCATGCTATAGTTAGCAATAATCATTCTAAGGAATGTATATGCAAGTTCCTCTGCTATACTGCTTTTCTTATAAGAGAGAAAATAAGCATATTTGCTTAGTTTGCAAATTATTACTAGAATGCTATTATATTATATCTTAGTTAAGAGTTCTTATAAGAAAAATAGCTTAATAATGAAGTTTAAACTAATGAATTGCTAAATAGTTATAAATACTAATAAGAGATGCAGTAGTTTATAAAGCTTATATCTTTCTGCTTTATTCTTCTTGCAGCTATTGCATTGTTATAGAATATTCTCAATTCTTTTTCTAAAGCTTAATAAGTTCTAATATCTTTTAATGCATTTATAGATTGCTTTAACTCTTTAATATCTATATGCTAGTATACTATATATATTCTTAATATAGTTATTTTGTTCGTTTAGAATTATTGATTCTGGATTCTTTTCTAAGAATTCAATTCTGAAAATAGTATTCAGTTCTCTGTATGCATTAATAAGATTTCCTAACTTATTTTGAACAAAGATATTCTGTATATCTAAGAAATCTGCATTTCAATAGTTTGATCTTCTGCTAAGAGCATCTGCTCGTTCGTTTTCCAAGCTTTTGTAGTATATAATCTTGAAATCGAATTATAAAAGAAATTCTGCTTATCTAACTTATTGCTTATTCAAAATCTTAGTTGTTATAAATATAATCAGATTCTTATAATCTGAGTAAATTATAATCGAATGCTATATACTAATAAAGTAGTATTGCTATTCTTCAAAAGCTTTTACTATTGCTATAAGCTTCTAATTAGAGATTCTGTAGTTAACTTCTAAGCTATTCAACTTCTTTGAGAAGTTGCTTATAATTCTTAGATATTCTTAATCATCTTGCTAGCTAAGTTGTTCTCCGAATGCATATTTCAATACATCAGTTTCAACTTCAAAGGATTTGTAAAGATCTGCTTCATATAGAACTGGTTCTGAGATAATATATCTGATAATCTTATTAAAAGCTTCTTATGCTTTGAAGATTTATTCGAAAGGCTATTCCTTTTTAGTAAGATTTGTAAGAAAATATACAATTCAGCTGTAATTCTTAATAAACTGCTTGTAGAAATTAATATATTCGAGAAAAGATCTAATATTCCTAATGTTTCTAAGAACTAGCTAATTTCTAATAGCTTCTATCTTATCTTTCTATAGCTTAATACATTCTAGCTCGATTGTAAATCCGAGATAGTTAATCTTTTGTATATAAAAGTAACTCTTTGCGAGTTCCACAAGAAGTTTTACATTCTAAAGCATTTGCAATACTATTTCCATATATTTCTTATATTCTTTTAATATTCAAGAGTAAATAAGAATATCATTGAAATAAGCAATAACGAACTGATTCAGATGCTTGCATAGAACATAATTGATTATTTTCTGAAATGAAGCTGAAGCATTCATTAGATCAAAAAGCATAATCAAATATTCGTAGTATTCATAGCATATTCTGAAAGCAATTTTCCATTCTTCTCCTTTCTTTACTCTAATCAGATTATAAGCTTCTTTCAGATTCAGAACTATAAACCACTATACTCCTTATAATCTATCTTATAATTCCTTAATAAATAGCAATGAATATCAGTTCTTAATTATAATATTATTAAGTTGCTTATAATTAATATATAGCTTAAGCTTGCTATTTTTCTTAAGTACAAATAGAATAAGATATTCTGCTAGTAATTGCAATGATTATATATATTCTTTCTTAAGATTCTCATCAAGATACTCTCTAAATGCCTCTAGCTATGCTTTATTTAGTCTATAGATAGAGAAGAATTTGAGCTGTTTCTCTTCTTATAGCAGGATCTCATAATTATATAGATTGTATTCTAGCAATCCTATATCCAATTCTTCTTAGAACAGTTTCTTGAACTTGTAATATTCTTGTAGTATATTTGCGAGTATTGGTTCTGATTTCTGTGCTGTTTCTGCTATCTGAAGGAATAGTAGGTATTGTTGAGCATGCTTCTTTTCTGATAGCGTTTTCGAGAGCTTTAAGCGTTCGCTCCAGGCCAAACTGAGCGCTCGAGAGCTTGGTTTCGAGATTTTTCCCGTATGAGTTCACAATTCACATTCTGAAGCTTTTCCTTATTGCTTCGAAACGAACTGATTTGCTGAGAATCTTGCTTCTGTTGTTTTATTAACCTGTTAGCGCCCTAGCACTGTTTGGATTCGCTTATCACTAAATCCTTCTCTTTGAACTGCTAGCTCTGCTGGTTTGGAAGTATATGGGAAGTTGTATAAAGCCTCTTTTTCTAAGTATTCTTCAATCACTAGCTTCAATTCTGCATTATTGATTGTAACTATCTCTTCTGGATACAGCTTGTTTCATGAGATCTAGCCAGTAGTCCAATCAATTCGAAGATTATACTTCTTAAGCTATAAAAGCTCTATAATCAGCTCATATTATACTGTATTCATAATATCAAAGAAAGCTCTAGTTATGCATTCTTGAATCAAAATAAGTAGATAATCAGTCTTCTTATTAATTATTCCTTGATTATATGCAACAGATTATTCTTTCACAGTGCTGAGAGTATATAAGCATCTCTTTCATTTCTATTATAGTTATGCTTAATTAATAATGTATGAGAATATAAAGTTTCTCTAAGCGCTACTATTCAATAGTATGCTATATTTATATTCTTAAATGTATATATCGAATTTGATATAAGCATAATCTGTTTTAGAAGCTTTACATAAGAATCGTTCTAATCTAATTATCTGCAGTTTCTTTATAAGCAATTCTGTTCTTTTGAATTCATTAAGAACTATTTATTCTTCTAAGCCTACTTTGCTGCTTCTCAAGCAAGCTTCTTAGCTTGCTTTTGCTCATATCATCATTATTCCTAGTTTTTCTTTTATTAATACTAGTTGCAAACCTTATTATTAATATAAATCATACAGAGCATTATTTTGCATTGCTACTATTCTATTTCCTTATTCACATATTGCATAGAGCAATCATCTAATAGCCCGATATATACATTGTAGTATTGCTTATTGAGAATCTTTCTGAAGCGGAATTCCTATTCTTTAACAGCTTGAAGGATTTATTCTAGTTCTCTAACAAGGAATCATTCGTATTGCACTTTCTCCAAGAAATGCATTCTATAGCTATAATAAGTGCAGAAGATTCATGTTAATTCGTAGTATAGATTGTAAAGTAAGCTAATTCGAGAATTCTTATCTTCTTATGCTTTAATATTTTGTAAGGGAATGCAGATGAAAAGCTTCTCTAGCTCTATCTCATAAACAAGATATTCAATTCATATTATTTTCTTATTCTACTTAATGCTAAAGAGAAATCTTTCTTTAAGCTTATTAGATATATTATTTGCAAGAAGCTTCTGCAAGCTGCTAGATTATTTGCTCTAGCTTAATCCTTCTATTGCTTGAGAAGCATTCTCTATATTGCTTAGATATTCGTATCAGTAGCTAAGAAAGTATTATCTCTTATTCATATTCCTAATCATAGTACTTAGTATAAGCAATAAAGAACATTGAAGAGTATTGTTGCTAAGCTCTTCTTCCAATGCCTGAATACTCTGTTCTCTGATATCAGAGCAATCCGAGTTGCTACTCATAGAAATACTAAGCGTACACTCTCATTCTGCTATTGCTATTTATCTGCAGCACTTAGATTTCTGAGAGAATCATTCTAAACCTTCCTTACTCAAGAGATATATTAAGCAGTTATTATTATAGCAGAATATTCAGCTAAGACTTCTATGATTAATAGAATCCAATACTTGCTCCAAGAGAGTATTATTGCTTAGTTGATTGGATTTCTATTATTAAGCAACATTTATCTAGCATTCTTTCTAAACTAATTGCTATTTGTTTTTCTAGAGCTGATAGCAGTTGCATACTATATATTCTTATTTATTATAGTTGTAACAAGTGATTTCATTCTTCTTGCTATACTGCTTATTAGCTGCATTGAATTCTATGAAACCAGCATATATAATACTGCTTTGAGCTATACTGCTATATCAACTGCTATTCTTGTTTTGAAGTTTCTTGCTTATATTAGCTAGAAATCTTCAGATCTAACTTTCTCTCTTCTTAAACTTCTCTACTTATTATTCATACAGATGGTTATTAATGCGGATAGCTTGATTGAAGAACATTGCAAAGTTCTCCAGCTAATTCTGCTTAGAGATTTCATCTTTAACGTTGTTCTTGAGTTCTTTATAATAGTATTCCATAAGATTCTTATCTTCCTACAGAAGTTGTACTGAGAATTGCTTGAATCTAACTATATAAGCAGAAGCTGATTTAATCTGCTTGAGATTCATAAGCTGCTAAGCTATAGTGCATTTTTCGTTAGGATTATCAAAGGTTTTCTTAAAAGCTTTCTCAAAGCTTTTAAAAGAATCAAATATGCTCTTAATACTCTAGATATGTATATTGGAGTTGTTCTAATACTTCAAGTAATTGTATAGAGAAGGCTTATATTAGATAAAAGCATTCTTTTCAAGATGAATTCCTGCAAGGATAACTTTCTCAGATTCCTTGATAAACTGAGTCTTGTGATACAGGAAATACGCTCTGCAGTGAGTAAGGAATCCATGCAGCGTTTTCTGGTTGCTATTATACATAGCAAGCTTATTCATCTTATATACTTTTCCAGCGCTACTAGTAGTTGCAGAAGTAAACTGCGCCTGCTAAGCTTATTAAGCTAGCTAAGCCTGTTAGTTAGCGATGATAGCGCTCTGAATCTGCTGTTGTTCATGCAGATTCTGAATATGCTGAATAAGCTGATATACCTAATTAATCAGTTCTTCCTAAATAGGAATGTATAAGAATGAAGAGATTTCTGGAGAAGCTATTATATTCTGTATTGCTTAAGAAAGTAATACTGAATTATTCTTGAACAAGAATTATCAAAATGTAATAAGTACTGCAGCAATCCGAAGATTCCAAAGTATATAAAGAAAGTTTATGCTAACAAGAGCAGTATTAAAGTGCTAAGTTCTTAAATACAGAACTATACAAGTCTTAGTAAGCAATGCAAGTATTCACTGCCTTTGGAGCTATTAGAGTAGAGAGTAATCTGATACTTAGATTAACAACTGAAGAGCTATGTATGAGATCTATCTAATGGGAATGAATATATTCTTTATATATTCAGCTCTTCAGTTCTATTAGTAGTATTGATTATTGGATTACTTGGATTATCTGGGTAATTCAATTGATTCGGATTACTATGGATCAGCTGCTGATCCATCCTAATCCTGTAATCCTAATCCTTGCTTATATAAGCCTTAGTCCTTGAGATGTTGAATCCTTTCCTGTCTTTCGAACAGTTATTCCGAGTATCCTGGCTGGTGACCTGCATATTAAATGAGTTATAACAAAGTTCTTTGTATGCATAATCTTGCTTTCCTGATTGAGATATTAAATAGAATTAACAAATCCTATATTCGCAAATCTTTTTCCATTCTAAAGAATATCTAAGATCGAGATCTCTTGATTTTCTGTTTCTTGGAAAATTTTATCAAGATGTTTATTTATTCCTATTGCAAGGATTATGATTTCGGATTCTGCAAGATATTTCCCGAAGATTCTTCTCATTGCATTGAATGCATTCGATTAAGCTGCTCTAAGTGCAATATCATAAGCTTTTCTCTCGAAGAGCTTTGCAATATCGCTATTTAATATCGAAAGTTAGAGAACGAGATTGAGAAGAAGGAAACTGAGCTTCTTCATCTATGCTAATAGAAGCGAATGTAATCCGAGAAGATGAAATGTGCTCTGCATTATAGTATTACTTGCATAAAGAAATTGAATTGTATGAAAGCTGAGAAAGCTAAGGCTGAGAGGATGCGTATTGCTACTGAAGTGCAGGCTATAGTAGCAGAGGAATCTGTTATTATAGCTAAGGATTCTTCTTTTAAAGGTTTTAACTGGAACTCTGTAGATTTGGGAGGTTCTGTAGTAGATTAGTTAAGCTTTTTGGAAAGTGAGGTTTCCAAAGCTTCTGAATTTCGGTTTGGGGCGGAGCGATTGTTTTAGGTACTAATTTCTTTTCTTTTCTAATACTCAGCTACTCTTTCTTAAGCATTCTCAATATTCTCTTGTAATTCTCATGAATTTTTACTTGCTAAGTAATCTTTTCACTTAATAAGGTATTCTCTTGTATTATTTGTGCTTCTATACTTGAGAATTTTTTCTATTTCATATTCTAATTCATTATTTTCTACTTCTGCTATATTATTCATTAGTATTTCCTATATTGCTAATTTCAGCAGTAAAATATGGAAAACTGAGTATATTCTTATCTTATAAGATAATGCTAACTTGTAATTAATTGGAGAAATCTATTATAAGATTTTAAATAATTCTAACTTCTTATAGTTAAGCTTGTTGCTAGATTTAGTTGTTTTAATATTTTTTTGAAGTAAATAAATCTTATCTTCCTTCTGTAGAATTAGTTTCTCAATCCTTTTAGAATTTGCATATTGCATTATTCATTCTTGAATGAATTGTAATTCTGATTAGAGTTTCTTCTGAACTTTCTTAATCTTCTTAATTCTTTTATTTGCAGCTTTTGCATCTGCTTCCAGTAATGCTTCGTAATAAGCTGTTAAGTTATATCTATAGAATATAAAGAATAATAACTTCTTTATTATATTTATATCTGCGCTATTATAAGCAAACTATGCAAGAAGCAATAGATTAATCTAGTTATTTTATTCCTAATTAATATAATATTGAAGATATTATTCAATAATCTGATTTATTTTTTCTATTTATTTATCTATTTGCAAGTAAAATGCTATAGATATTCTATAGTATGTTCTAAGCTGTTTTATAAGTAAAGTTTAAAATTTTGAGTTAAACTTTCTATTTCTATTGAAGATTACTTCTTCTAGCATGCTATAATTAGCAATGATTATTCTGAGAAATGTATATGCAAGTTCTTCTGCTGTATTGCTTTTCTTATAAGAGAGAAAGTAAGCATACTTGCTTAGTTTACAAATTATTACTAAAATGCTATTATATTATATCTTAATTAAGAGTTCTTATAAAAAAGATAGCTTGATAATAAAATCTAGATTAATAGATTGCTAAATAGTTATAAGTATTAATAAGGAGTATAGTAATTCGTAAAGCTTATATTTTTCTGCTTTATTCTTCTTATAGCTATTATATTGTTATAAAATATTTCCAATTTTTTTCCTAAAGTCTGATAGATTTCAGTATCTTTTAATGCATTTGTAGATTGCTTTAACTCTCTAATATTCATATGCTAATGCATTATATATATTCTTGATATAGTTATCTTATTCATCTAGAGTTATTAATTCTGAGTTTTTTTCTAAAGATTCAATTCTGAAAGCAGCATTCAGTTCTCTGTATATATTAATAAGATTTTCCAACTCGTTTTGAGCAAAGATGTTCTATATATCCAAGAAATCTGTATTTCAATAATCTGATTTTCTGCTAAGAATATTTACTTATTCGTTTTCTAAGCTTTTGTAATATATAATCTTGAAGTTGAACTATAAGAGGAATTCTGCTTATTTAATTTATTGCTTATTCAAAACCTTAGTTATTATGAATATAATTAGATTCTTATAATCTGAGTAAACTATAATTAGATATTATGCGCTAATAAAGTAGTATTATTACTTCTTGAAAGCTTTTATTATTACTATAAGTTTCTAATTAGAGATTCTATAGTTGATTTCCGAGCTATTCAACTTCTTTAAGAAGTTGCTTATAATTCTTAGATATTCTTATTCGTTTTGCTAGCTAAATTGTTCTCCGAGTATATATCTCGATATATTAGTTTCAATTTCAAAGGATTTGTAGAGATCTGCTTTATATAGAACTAGTTCTGAGATAATATACTTAATAATCTCGTTAAAAGCTTCTTATACTTTGGAGATCTATTTGAAAGGCTGTTCTTTTTTGGTAAGATTTGTAAGAGAGTATGCAATTCAGCTATAATTTCTAATAAACTGCTTGTAGAAGTTAATGTATTCGAGAAAAAATCTAATATTCCTAATATTTCTAGGAACTAACTAATTTCTAATAGCTTTTACCTTGTTTTTCTATAGCTTAATACATTCTAGCTCAATTGTAAATCCAAGATAGTTAATCTTTTGTATATAAAAATAACTCTTTATAAATTCTATAAGAAGTTTTATATCTTGAAGCATTTGTAATACTGTTTTCATATATTCCTTGTATTCTTTAAATATTCGAGAGTAGATAAGAATATTATTGAGATAGATAATAATAAACTGATCTAGATGCTTATATAGAATATAATTGATTATTTTCTAGAATAAAGCTAGAATATTTATTAAACTAAAGAGCATAACTAAATATTTATAGTATCTATAGTATATTCTGAAAGCAGTTTTCCATTCTTCTCCTTTTTTTACTCTAATTAGATTATAAGCTTCTTTTAAATCTAGAACTATAAATCATTATACTTCTTGCAGCTTATCTTGTAATTTCTTAATAAGTAGCAATAAATACTAGTTTTTAATTATAATATTATTAAGTTGCTTATAATTAATATATAATCTAAGCTTGCTATTTTTCTTAGATATAAACAGAATAGGATATTCTGCTAGTAATTGCAATGATTGTATATATTCTTTCTTAAGATTCTTATTAAGATACTTCTGAAGTATCTTTAGCTATATCTTGTTTAATCTGTAGATAGGGAAGAATTTGAGCTGTTTCCCTTCTTATAGCAGGATCTTGTGATTGTATAAGCTGTATTCTAGCAATCCTGTATTTAATTCTTTCTGGAATAGTTTCTTGAACTTGTAATATTCTTATAATATATTCGCAAGTATTGATTCTGGTTTCTGTGCTGTTTCTGCTATCTAGAGGAATAGTAGATATTGTTAAGCATGCTTTTTTTCTAATAGCGTTTTCAAGAGCTTTGAGCGTTTGCTCTGGGCTGAACTGAGCGCTTAAGAGCCTGGTTTCGAGGTTTTTCTTGTATAGTTTCATAATTCATATTCTGAAGCTTTTCCTTGCTGCTTCGAAGCAGACTGATCTGCTGAGGATCTTGCTTTTATTATTTTGCTAATTTATTAGCATTCTAGCATTATTTGGATTTGCTTATTACTAGATTCTTCTTCTTGAACTGCTAGCTTTGCTGATTTGGAAGTATATATGAAGTTGTATAAAGCTTCTTTTCCTAAATATTCTTCAATTACTAGCTTCAATTCTGCGCTATTGATTATAACTATCTCTCTGAATACAGCTTGTTCTTATGAGATCTAGCTAGTAATCCAATCGATTCAAGGATTGTGCTTCTTAAGCTATAAAAGCCTTATAATCAGCTTATGCTATACTGTATCTGTAATATTAAAGGAAGCTCTGATTATACATTCTTGAATCAAGATAGATAGATAATTAGTTTTCTTATTAATTACTTCTTAATTGTATGCAACAGATTGTTCTTTTATAATACTAAGAATATATGAATATCTCTTTCATCTTTATTGTAATTATGCTTAATTGATGATATATAGGAATATAAAGTTTCTCTAAGCATTATTATTCAATAGTGCGCTGTATTTATATTCTTGAATATATATATCAAACTTGATATAAGCATAATTTATTCTAAAAGCTTCATATAAGAATTATTTCAGTTTGATTATCTGCAGTTTCTTTATAAGCAATTCTATTCTTTTGAATTTATTAAGAACTATTTGTTCTTCTAAGCTTGCTTTACTACTTCTTAAGCAAGCTTCTTAGCTTGCTTTTGCTTATATTATTATTATTTCTAGTCTTTCTTCTGTTAATACTAGTTGCAAATCTTATTATTAATATAAATTATACAGAATATTATTTTATATTGCTATTATTTTATTTTCTTGTTTATGCATTACATAGAACAGTTATCTAATAATCCGATATATGCATTGTAATGCTGTTTATTGAGAATCTTTCTAAAGTAGAGTTTCTATTCTTTAATAGCTTAAAGGATTTATTCTGATTCTCTAATAGAAAACTATTTGTATTGCATCTTATCTGAGAAATACATTCTGTAGCTATAATAGATACAGAAGATTCAAGCTAGTTCGTAGTATAGATTGTAAAGTAAATCAATTCAAGAATCTTTATCTTATTATATTTTAATGTCTTGCAAGGGAATATAGATGAAAAGCTTTTCTAATTCTATTCTATAAACAAGATATTCAATTCATATTATTTTCTTGTTCTATTCAATGCTAAAGAGAAATCTTTCTGTAAGCTTCTTGGATTTATTATTTATAGAAGACTCTAGTGAATTATTAGATTATTCGTTCTAGCTTAATCTTTCTATTGCTTAAGAAGCATTTTCGATATTATTTAGATATTTATACTAATAACTAAGAAGATATTATCCTTTATTCATTTCTCTGATTATAATATCTGATACAGATAATGAGGAATAGCAAAGAGCATTATTATTAAGCCTTTTCTCCAGCGCCTGAATGCTTCGTTTAATAACATTAGAGCAGTTCGAATTATTGCTGCTTGTAGTTATGCTGAGCATATACTCTCGCTCTGCTATTGCTATCTGCTTATAGCGCCTAGATTTCTAAGGGAACCATTCTGAACCTTTCTTATTTGAGAGATGTATTAAGCAGTTGTTATTATAGCAGAATGTTCAGCTGAGACTTCTGTAATCAACA